AGTAAGTCGCGCAACGCATTCCGCTGGCTGTCTTCTGACAAATCAGAGTCACGAATCAACGGATCCACCCAGTCACAAGACGCACCACTCACATCGACGCCAGTGTCACACAAGCTCGAATCAAACGCCAAGCGCGCCACTACCGCGTGGCTCGGCAGGCGCACCTCTCGAGACGTAGGATTTAGCAACATCACTGGAATCAAGCGGTCAGGGGGAACCAGCGTCATAGCTCTCGCGCACATCACAGTAAGGCGCTCGGACAATAGGTCACTGGATTCCACGACCACATTACCGCTAACACCCGGTGGCACCGTACACAATACCACACTCTGATGCTTAGGAGGGATGCATACTTCCTTTGACAAACGAACACAATCTGCCATCTCAGAAACATTGCATCGACGCACGCTGACAGTACTGGTTGAGAAGTCTATCGAAACAGAAGTACCCAACCTCTTCAAAACATCCGTTCCCAAAATACAGCTAGGAGCCAGGTTACGCACCACGTACAGAGGCTGGTCACGCAATGTTTGCTCACCTACAGTGACATCACAAATAATTACACACATGAGATCCAGGGCGCTCCCATCCACCGTGACTGGCTGTCTCACTGGAGGTATCTTCTTAACATCTAAACCTGATATCACCTCCGATGAAACAACACTACATTGAGCACCCGTGTCCAAAAGCCACTCCACCCTGCGATCGTCCACCGCGCCCGACACGAACACCTCAGCGCCATCACGACCTCCCATCCTCGAAGCTGAAGACACCTGAGCACTCCGACCATCAGCAACGCGCCCCGCACGCGCAGCCGCGAGCGCGAACGGCAGCGCACGCAACATCCCCGCGCCCCTAGCGGGATGCGGGATGCGCTGCAAAGCATGCGCCGGCACACACAACACACATGGACACATCACATAACGTTATGATTAATGTTTCAGACAGCACCTCTAAGTGGGTGCTTGGCTTAATGATAATTCGATTGAAATGCTTAGTCACCAGTGGACATCATTTTCATAGGCCAAAATAGTTATACACCTCTGTTAAGCTGGCTGTAAAAGTACTGGTTTAGATATTCGGGATCCAAAAAGCGTCGAGCTATATGTATGTACAGTCTGTCTTAAAAGTACCGCGCAAAGTGACGGTGGATCCATCAAGCCTGGCCGATGAAGGACTGTTAAATTTGAGCCACCGAAGCAATGGACATCCTCGTCCATTCCCCAGGTCCAATGGTTCGGTGACTTTAGAATTATAGCAGGCCCTTCCTCAGTCAGGCTTGGTGGATCCACCGTCACTTTGCGCGGTACTTTTAAGACAGACTGTACAGCCCACCGCTAAAGTAATGTGTGGTTTTACCAATCTCAACGGATGGCTTTGACCGACGATTTTTAACCCTATTCCTGGCGGGCTCCGCCGGGACAAGAAACTGGCGGGGGGGGGGGCCGATTCGCCCCCCCCCCTGAGATCTCGAGAACGAAGCAAGATAGCGACAAGCGGTAAACGGCATCGGATACGCACGGCCAAGATCTACAATTTTTACAAAGGTCATTTTCAGGTCAGGTCAAAGATGACGTCACAGGGGTCGAAAAAGTCAAAATGGCGGCGCCAGATATGGAGAGAGTTTTTCTCGAATAACTTTCGAATTAGTCAAGATAGGAACAAACTAAGTGCATCATCGTGATCCTCTCGTCAATCCGCATCGAATGATATATATGTTGACCTCGAAAGGTCAAGGTCAAAGGTTGACCTCAGGTCACGTGACCTCGAGGTCATCATGTATATCATTCGATGCGTCTTGACGAGCTGAACACAATGAGACCATCCACGCGTCTGTATCTTGTTCCTGTACGGAGGTATTGGCCAAAAACCTTTGGTGACCTTTGATGACGTCACATGACCTCACAGCTGCCCAACAGCAAAACAGACCTCAAGGTAGTGAAGGTTGATCGTATATGAAGTCATGTATGGTATATGGGGCCATTCCGACCCGTTTTAGTGGTAAAAACAGGGAGTTGATTTTTCCCCCATTGACTTATAATGGGGAGGTCGCGAAATTGACCTGACCTTAGGTCACCGATATCAAAATTCCAAGATATACAAATTGCACATACTGGTACCCTAACTAAACCCTGAAGAGAAGAAATTGATCGGTCAAAAACTCTAGCTCTGGCGTGATTGCAAACTTTTCTGAGGTAGGGTCACCAAACCGCCTCTGGTGACCTGACCTGAGGTCAGATCAACTCAAAATTTTTAGACATGTTGCGTAGAAGCCTTTAAGGAAAAGTCAGAAAATTTGAGCTTCCTAGCTCAACGCGTTTGGGAGAAATAACCAAAAAACCTCAGGGGGGGGGCTCCTGAGGCCCCCCCCCCCCCGCCAGGAATAGGGTTAAATGCGGACTGATTGAAAAGAAGACGTCAATAGATAAAGTTGTAGCTGCAAGGGTGAAGATACATGTAGGGGAGAGTGGGGTAATTTGGCCGGTGGTGTAAATTGGCCGCCCCCACCTGTACGAAAGCTGATAAAAGTGAATGAAATAACTTTAGTCTCTATTGATTTGTCATCGGCAGAACTAACTCCAGAACAAATGTCAAAACTTTCCCCCTCTTACTTTTATTCAAAATTAATAAAACGTGAATTTCGTTAGAAAATGGTAACTTTTACTTCCGTTTAAAAAAATTGTGTAACATGTAGTATTTGGGCTGTAAACGAAGTCCAACATTATAGCGCCATTCTTGAGGGTGTTCAGCGGTTCCAAGAGCAATTTCATCTAGTTCTGTACAGCCATGACGACTTTATAGACAAAAACTTTCAGAATGGCAATGTGGGATTATTTGGCCGGGACTAGCGGGGCAACTTGGCCGGTGCGCTCAGAGTCACTATGCTGGGATGGCCGAGCTGTCACGGTCAATTATACCATAAAGGACATAATTCATGACCAACTTTGACTACCTTGATGCCATATTTCCTATTGGACAGCTGTAAGGGCATGTGACGTCATCAAGGGTTACCTAAAGTTTTTTGCTAATAAATACTTACAGAAAAAAGATACAGCCGCGCAAATGGTCTCATTGTGTTCAGCTCGTCAAGGCGCATCGAATGATATACATAATGACCTTGAACTCACGTAACCTTGAGGTCAAGCGACCTGAGGTAACGTGACCTGAAGCCAGCCTTTGACCTTGACCTCTCGAGGTCAACACATACATGTTTCGATGCGGAATGACGAGAGAATTACGATGGTACTTTTAGTTTTGGCCTAGCTTGATTACTTCAAAAGTTATTCGTAAAAAACTGTCATCGCATCTAGAGCCGCTATTTTGACTATTTTCGACCCCTGTGACGGCTGAGTCAACCTCCAAAATGCTTCAGATACGTCGTAGGACACGCGTCATTGCTGAATGTGAAGCTGACTCGCCGATAACAAAAATCATGACCTCAAACTAACACCGGCCAAATTGCCCCACACCCCCGGCCAAATAACCCTGCTAGTGGGGCAATTTGGCCGCTTTGCAGACCTTTGTAATGCGTCACAATTTCAATATAAGTAGTTACCCTATCATTTCAAGTTTACTGTCCAAGAAAGTAGAATGTATGCCACACCTGTCGGCTGTCGACGTTGAGAAAATGCAGAAATGTGTTGTCGATTTTTAGCTACATCGTTTTCTAAAAAAAGCGGCCAAATTACCCCACTCTCCCCTAAGCTACATTTAAAGTCTCGTTGCAGTCTGGCTAATCGTTCCTAGGCTTCAGAAGCAGAACATACCCATGACTGAATCTACACATTACTTCTGCTGTGGACTGTACTTTTCTGATCATTGTTTATAAGTGGTGTGTTTTTTTTTCCTTTTCTGCTTCCTTTTGTGCACTTCTCGAGACTTTTGCCGCCTTGCCCTTGATTGATTGATTGGTCGAGGCTGACCTCTTTTGGGACCTTAGGTTAGGTTAGGTTAGGTTAGGTTAGGTTCTGTTTTTACCTGACTGCTCGTCATTGTGACTTGGATAGCTTTGACCTTGTTTGACCTCCCTGTGACGTCACAGGTCAAAAATCAAGGTAATCGATGCTGCATGTTGTGCATCTTGATGAGGTCTTTCGAATGCCGTTATATGTTTCCGACCAGGTTATTGTACGACGGGGGCCTACCTCCACCGGCTCCCCCCCTCCCCCCCACCATAACAAAACCTGGGCCCAATCTTACCAAATGCCGTGAATGCGCATTCACGGCATTTGGTAACATTCATAATAGCTATTCCACATTCATTTATCCATTCGTTCAGGCAACATTCATAATCATTCACACCATTAAACTCATTCAACCAAATTAGCTGGACGTAAATATAGCAATAATACCGCTGATATTATTACCGGTAACTCCGGCCAGTGCTGCCATATCCTATTCACGGCATCGGTAAATGGTAAGATTGGACCCTGGAACCTGCAGACCTTTCCGGTCCGCGAATTAACGTCAAAGACTGTGTGGAGAGAGCACTATCAAATGTCACCTCATTTTGAAGTCGGAACTGTAAAAGGATAAGTTTTCCTAGACCAATCATTTCACGAGCAATGGTTCTTATTGAAGCAGTTGCTCGCGTTTCTGATATTGCCTATGATATGATCCGTTGTGAACCATGTGATCCATATTGCCATTTATGGTGATATGTTCGGCTCAATATCACTGGAATGATGGCAGCGGGACCTATGGCCATGCATCTGTCTGACTGAGGCGTAGCTATAATAAATAAATCGTCTAATTGTTTACTCAATAGACAACGTGAAGTGCGAGCATGATACGGTAATGCGTAATGTTGACGGGAACGAAATGACACAATTTAGCCCCCATGATTTGGGTTTTCGCCTAGCTCCTGTCCATTTTTCTATTTTTGCAAGGCAAATGTCGTATTTCATCGTTGCAGCGGAAAGATAAATAAGGTTTGTCGTTAATGTGTCGGAACTCAAAAATACCTTAAACGGTGATTGGCTTTTAATTAGAGAACACAACGCATTTCCAACATTTATTCATAAAACTGCATATTACAGACAAAGGTGATAAACCACCAAATATCCGTGTGTTGTATCATCATTGCATGATAAGTTCACATCATCTCGTTAATTATTCCATTGGGAAGCTCAATGCTTATATACCTACATTAAAATGTAACTAGATATCAGTCTTAAACGGTACGGCCATCCGGGTGAACGCATCGGATCAGTTATCAGCACCATCCCATACAGCAAAAGGAACCGTCGCCAGTTGACATCACAGTACGTCACCTGAACATGTCAGTGACTTGTTAGCACAAGCTCGATATGATGACTATTAGGGCAGCTGGCCTGGCCACCCTGAGGTCAGGAAGTTCACCTCTCATGTTACTGGAAGAGTAGAGTGACCGTCGATCGGTAATGTTACGCATGACGACCACCACCTAGTGCAGCACTGCAATCGCCTCGGTCGCGTTTTCCGTTCACCCCATTCGTTTCCGCGCCGCCGCCGTGTCTCCATCGAGCCTGTTCTCATGTCCTCTCTTGTGTCACGCAGTCTCGTCGATCTCTTGCGTTACCCTGCGTGTTGCTCTAGCAGTCTTACACACGCCGACCCGACAGCTGATGGGGCGCCCGGAGCCATCCGAGCCGGCGGCGGCTCGTGTTTCAGCGGCGCGTGCCGGTCCGTCTCCCCGGGGGGTGTCTGTGACCGGGTCGCGTCAGCCGGGTGACCGGGACGGGGCCTCCGAGAGCAGCGTGTCAGCCGTCCGGCTCAGTCTGGCGCCGCCCGTCGGTGGCACGCGACGGCGGCAGTGTTTACGGAGGACGGCTCGTCTGCGGCGAGTACAGCACTGCGGCGGCCGCCGCCGTTGGATTCCTGTCGTACCGAACTGTAAACACACAAGGCATGGAGCCCTGGTCAGTAGGGCCCGCGTCCGCGTACCACGTGCCCCCTGAACGGAGCGGACACGGGCAAAAATGGTCGCCATGGTAACTGTTAGGAGGCCTCAAAGGCGGACCAGCCGACTCGTTCAATGGAACGGCGGCAGTCGAGTGGATTTTACCAGAAAAGGAATGAGGCGCGCATAGGCCCTGCTCAAGGAATCTGACTCACGAAGTTGACGGTTGGTGGGAAGATTCATTACCTTTTTACCATTTATACGTCATGCAAAAAAAAAACGTAAATTCATCGGCGCCATTTTATAAATCTCGTTACGAACGTAAAAATGGTGGTGTACGATTTTCTTTCAATAGAAAGCAAAACCGACAGACCCCTTTTTATGACATCAGCTATATACCAAGCTTAATTTTCTATGTGTTCGCCACCTTATGAACATGAAGGTATGTTAAGCGTGTGCTCTTTTTCCATGCACTTGCTTAGAACGGATGCTCGAAACATTTTGTCAGTCGCACAGGTCAGGTTCAGGTGCCAACCATTATAGCGTTTAACTTTAACGTTTAAAATGAGTCGATTTGACGCGTTTTTTTTAAGCTAGATGTTCAACTAGAAATGGCATGTTTGTGCACTGTGTTATTTGTACGCAAAATTGACCGATAACTTAATAAAAGCATTGCAAAGTGACCTAAGAAGATCTGACGAATGCAGCAGCAAATACTTTATTTTCCATTATAAATATACTAGGTGGGTCTTTTTGAGACACCTTATAAAAAACGTCGTGTTTTCAATTTCATCCCCAGGAAAATTCACGTCTATTAATTTATTGCACTTTAGCTGCCCCCTTAAAGGAAAAGGGCCACCTTTAACATGGGGATTTAAACTGAGATAGCCATCTTGTAGCCCGTGTTCGAAAACCTAACTGTCTTCCTCCTTACGGCCGATTTCGGCCTCCATTCGTGGTTATCGGCAATTTTAAAAGAAAATACGCCAGGAATGCGTCCTTATCCCAGGAATGCGTTCTTATCCGACAATACAGCCACCCGCGGCGAGGCTTTGGTTTTTTACCAATCAGCTCCAACCAGCTCAGCTCTAACCAATCAGCTTATCTGACACAATCCGACGAGTCTGTCTTCTGAACGCTGATTGGCTTGAGTGTGACGTCATCGCTATGCCATCATACAGTAGGTGCCGTAGAGAGTATCAACATAGTACCAATATGTTAAATAGTTTTAAATACTTTTTTCGCGAATTGTGCACTTCTGGCACCAGTTTTAAAAAGAAAATGAAAAATAATAATGTCAAAATGAAAAACAACGATATCTTCATATTTCACGAAGGTGGCCCTTTTCCTTTAACCCTCGCACGACCAGGCCATTTCTCATAACACGAACGACCAGGGGGGGGGGGGGTTGTTACGACCCCCCCCCTGGCGTTTCGAAACGGAAGGTCGTAGAGCTTAGCGGAAAAAACCAACGGATTGCTCTCAACGAGATCTCGCGATTGGTGGTATATTTTTTGGTCCTAGGTCAACATTTGACCTGCTTTTGACCGGTCAAAGGTCAAATTTTCGGAAAAATAGACTTTTTCAACTTTCGGCGGCGATTGCGGCAAAACGGTGGAAGATATTGACTTGAAACCTTCACTATCGTGTTCCTTGATCAATTCTCTATCGTTTGGTATGTATTTCGTTTCCCTAGCTCTAAAAATGGCGCGTTGGGAGCGCCGGAAGTCGGCAAGGTCACAGTCGGCGGCAGAAATTCGAAAAATCAAAATTTAAATTTTTGAAATCTGATTGTATTTTTGGATTTGGGAGGTCCATTTGCTCCCTATAGAAGCTAATATTGCTGCATATTCCCATTGAGGTGACAAGAATTAGCAAAATAGTGGTTCGGGCGCTTTTCAAAAATAGTACCGGACGCTGTTCCTCTTGTGACGTCATAGCTCCGTGACCTGACCTGACCCGGTCAAATTTCTTATACCATATGATAGCCAATACTTGCCCCAACATGCATGGGAAGTTTCATCACGATCCATCAACCGATGTCCGTACCACCGGCAGGAAACCTCGGGCGTTGGCACTCAGTTTGTGAAAATCCGGCCGGAGGCTGTACCTCTTATGACGTCATAACTCCGTGACCTGACATGACCCGATCAATTTTTTTCGGCAAAAGATGCGCAAAGGTTGCCCCAGAGGGTATTGAAAATTTCAGCCCGCTACGACAAGCCGTTTAGCGTGCACTTCGAAAAAACCTCAGGGGGGGGTTGATACAACCCCCCCCCCTAGGCGTTCTAGGGTTAAAAACAGTAAAACATTTCAATAAGAATGCAGTCTTCCCCACGGTTGCACCCTGTTACCCGTTAATTTTTCAAGACTGACAAAGTAAACTATCAAGTTAATCGACCTCATGCAGAGGGAAGGTTAATGAATCATGAAAATGCAGGCTGCCAGGATGCGCAGTGCGCAGGCTACTGGAGCGAGTAGTAAAGTAATCTTGTGGAGCGACTGCTTTTGAACTTACCGATGATTATTAGTTTAAAAAACCCTTTTATCACCACCAAACTTAAATGTTTGGAATTCAGTAAACTGGCTCGCAGCCTCTCATTTAACTGTGTAAAAAGGCAAATAAACAAAACGTCCGAGGTTTGATAGCTATGGCGGTTCCTTGTGGCTGATAATATCAGGAAATTGGTTACGAATTTGTGTTCCATTACTAGATATGCGAATACCTATATCACGTATTTGAAGAACAAATAGCAAGAAGGTATTGATCAAGATATAAACCCTTACGATATGTATAATGCATATACGCTCTTGGGAAGCAGCATTTAAGTAACTATATTTTAATAATTTAAGTACATCAAACAGCTTTATTATTACCGCAATCGGTTCAATTAGATCAATAGTCTGGTTGCTAGTTGCAAGTAGTGGCTTAAGAAAATATTCAAGAATCAAGAGCATTTAATGTAGATTTTGTTCTCTACGCTTCTACCGCTTTTTTTTATCTGTGAGCATTGAGCAAGAGTTTCCCGTGGGTAACGACCGTTTCCACAGGCCATGCGTCACATAGGCACTATATATAGGCCGCTGGGACCTTACACAATCCCGGAGGACAAACATTTTAAAAAGCGCAAATGTTTGGCTCTTGCGAAATGTACGATCAATCGCATGACTGATTACTGTTGATAACTTACTCCCCCTAGGACGTAAGTCAGAATGCAATCGGTAGTTTGATATATCGCCGATGGAAAATTCCAGTTAAATGGGTGCGCATCAGCCTAAAGCGGCTTTATTTCAGCTATCTACATTCTACAACTAAATTCCGTGACCGTCAATTACATACTTCTTTGGTAACCTTCATAGAATACGTTCACAAACTTTTACAGAAGTGCTCCACTTCTAGAAATGTTCTGTAATTACTTTGCAGATAATCTCTCTCTCCCCTCTCTCTCTCTCTCTCTCTCTCTCTCTCTCTCTCTCTCTCTCTCTCTCTCTCTTCCATCTGTCTGTTTGTCTGTTTATCTGTCTGTCTGTCTGTCTGTCTGTCTGTTCTTTCTTTCTCTCTCCTTTATTTCCATCCATCCCATCCCATCTTCCTCGCCGCGCCCCGGCGATAAAGGGAGCTGCTGCATGCTCGTAAGTCGGAGTCGGCCGGCCCGCAGTACACGGGTGTCGTGCGGCACAGCCTACCCTCGCCAGTACCACGACGAACGAGTCTCCAGACGTGCGACGCCAACTTGGCCGGTGCGGTTCTGTATTTTTCCTCGCTTGGATCTCCATGATAGGAAATCTTTTTTTTTTCACTGTGCCACCGCACTCATCATCTACAGACGCACGCATGTCTCTTCAAATATGGCATGTCCGTATGGCGGTGTCCCTGACCTTGTGAACCATCCAGGCGGAGAATTAACGCCCTCAAGAGACCGCACTGCCACCAGGCCCCATCATAAGACAAATAATCCTCAAATGACCACTGTCTGGGCGGCGTCCTTGCCAGGCTCAAGGGGCCCGTTTCGCCCCCGAGACTGCGCCCGAGCAGCTGACAATGGTACCGGCCGGCTGAATAAACAGCCAAGTCGTCCGGCCGGCGCCTGCTGCGGCTGAGTCTCACGCGCCGCGTTTGGCGGGGTTCGTGTTCCTGTCACAGAGGCTGCCCTGGACCGCGTCAGGCGCGCTCTGATACTCAGCTGCTGGCCGGATGGACGAGCTCAGGGGACCCGTTCTAGAGAGTGTTCGGTGGAAGAGGACTGGGAAGGGCACGTGGACCGGTAACGGCGAGATTGGCGTGACGCGACTTCTGCCGACTATATTGCGATAGAAGTGAGGACGACAGATCGCGGTGGCGTTGGTAGCTCGTTACGGTTGGAATCCAGTGAGCTGACGCAAATTTGGTGATTTATGCAATCGCTGTTAATTATTGCACTTCATCAGGCTAACATTCAGCATTTGGGTGCTTGTTGCACTAAACATTTATAGAGGAATGTAGATACGGGCTGAGAATAGATAAAATCATTAGTGGTGCCCCAGGAAAAGAGCATTTATTGTGGCATGGAAAGCTAAAACACATTTTTTATTTAGATATCTGGCTGTCTGGGTCCTACCACAGTTTATCATAGCCGATCAAACGTATAGCACTTGCTAATCTCGTTTACGCATGTCTACTTCATTTCAGTCAGTTTCCAGTTTATGGTTTTATACACCTACAAACTAGGGGCGTCGTAAGTCACGCGACATCTTTCGCCACTGCTCCGGCATTTTGTTCTTGCTATAAACATCTGTCACGATTTTCAATGTTTGCCTTGCGGTATACAGTTGTGGAACTTTTCCATCAGCCCCTGCGTCGCCGCGAGTTCTCGGGCAATTGCGACGCTTAACTAGGGCAACGGTCAATTTGCCAATGGGGACAGCTGAGTGCCTTCATGGCCCGCTGCGCATTTAGCACTGTGGATAGACCGATAGGCTTGCGCTTATAGTGAATACTGAATAATTCAGTTGCTTTAGCACTTTTGGAATAGATGGTACATTTTACGAGAGCTATGAATTGTCAAAAACTAACTATAACTGAGCACTGGTTAACGATAAAACAAGAAATGAACATTGAACCGCATATTTTTCAATGTTTCTTATAGCATTTATGAATCGACTTAGTGGAGTGCTGTCAGATATTTTGTTAGAAACGCCCATTCACGACTTCCGCATTCTCCTACCAACCATGACCCAGCCTTGATGCATGACTCACCACCACTTCCTGAGATCCCAGCGCCTTGTTCGGCCGCCAGCCGGTTACATGGGTATCAAACACGAGCCAGAGATGGCCTCTGCACTGGCCAGATCCTGTAGGGCTGCCTTGAGCGCGCACCCAGTACCGCCAATGCTGAGCAGGATGGCCACAGGGACGGCCACCTTCTGCCAGCCGGACACTTTCCTGGAGAACAGAGCGACAGAGAGGCGGTCAGGATCCAGAAGTCGGCGAGAGATAAGTACTGGTACCGGGTAGTAAAAATGGTAAGCAGCAAAATCTTGAGCCTCATGGATAAGAAAATGAAAATGGTCGATTGTACTATAGCTCATGTGTTCATCATTTAAAACGTTGAAATTATTTCAGTCGTACCTACAGCAAAGCCATGTGTCATATTGATACCATTTCTATCAGATTTTAGATGTTGATACCGCGTGCTGCAATTTCAAACCATTTCACGTGATTTATTCGACCATTCGCTCACCTCTCGGGCCATCCCTCCTGATGCTGAGTGACTAGACGAAGGTAGAACACGGGCGGCATTATGAACGCCAGAACGCCGATGGTCGTGGAGCCGAGCAGGTTGAGGATTTTGTCGAAGCTGGGCACGGTGAGGCCGACCAGCACCATCAGACCGATGACCACCGTACGCACCAGCACCTGCTTGAGGCTCATGTCTGGCAAGGGTGGGGCAGGTGAGTTAGTGTAAAATTGGGGCAGCAGACAGCGTGCAGGCTGAGGATCTTACAGACGTTAAAATTAACTGCTTCAAAACATAACACTAATGTCTCGTAATTCTAAGGACAAATTGATTATTTTTTCCGCTTGAAACTGCAACATGCATAAATATTCTCATTTCATTCAATTAAACAGGTGGTCAGACATTATAAGCACGAGACAGTACACATTTTTTTCACGAGTGCGAGCTTTCAACGCGACTCCGAACTTACCGGGTCCCTCGATCTTGAGCGGTCCCTCCACCTGTCTGAAGACGGGGTTGATGAGGGTGTACGTGGCCGTGATGAGGCTGATGGTGAACGCCAGCTGGCTGATCTTGCGGAAGTCGCCATCCGGCAGCGAGTTGATGATGTTGGCGGAGAGCTTGTCGCCCAGCGCGGTGAAGCCGAGGGCAGACATGCTGCTGAAGAGCACGATCAGGCCTGAGGCGCGAGAGAGAGATGGTTGGCACGTCAGAGGTGTTATGTTTTAATGGGTTAAATAAAGAAGGAACTGAATGTGAGGGAGTGGAACGCGAGCAAAGTGTCATATAATCGTGCCTCTCAAAACGGCTACTTGGAGCAGATTCACAAACGAGGTCTTTTTTTTCAACTTGTTCATATATTTTCACAATCACACGATATTTGCACACTTACACCTTATTGTTTCACTTTCCATTTGCGTTTAATACACCTATGCCTTCCTGCCCCGCCCCGCATCGCCCCGCGATTGACACACATGCTCGTCCTCGCTGGGGCGATGCCCCAGGCCGCCGGCCGGGCCCGCGACCCGTCACCCTGATAGGTTGGCGAGCCGCGCGCCCGGCCGGCCGGCCGACCCTTAATAGTGCCGGCCTCCGGTTAGCCGGGTTGGGTTAGGGGCGGGCAGTGCGCATATGCTGCTTATTTTATCAGCAACAGCTCACTCAACTCACATGCATAGCACAAGATACAAGATACACATGATGCGCGAGGAGCATACTAAGCAATGCATACTACAAAAGGATGCACTGTGCGATCGTCTGTGCCGATTGAAACGCATCGTAATCCTTATTTACCGATTCATCACCATGCTATGTATGTCCCTGCACAAGAATATGTTTTGCCACTTTTCAATAAAGGCTTTAAGGGTGTCACTGACAAATGCTGCATGTTTTTCTACCCTCACTTGATGAACAACCGTGGCTCGAGCCCCTTCGTAGGATGGTTTTATCTGATTGTGCCGTAGCTTACAATTAGCGATGTATTGTTTGATAAGCAAGATTATAAGATTTACTGCATTACGGCCCTCTTCTATTCCAAAAAGCACATATTTTACGTTATTGTGTTCAGACATACCTAGACCCTCAAAAACTTTATCCCAGATCACAAACGAGGTCATTCGCTGCGGCGGTTTGCCAAAAACTCACTTAGCACGGCAACTGCAATTACGAACATTTAACTGAAGATTACACTGCTAGAAAACAGTAACAGAATATTTTAGTTGATACCAGTTTATGCTTTCGGAAATACTAGGTAGTTAGTAGTTACATTGTTACCGGTGACAATGACATTTATAGATCCAGCGAAACAAGAAACAAAATGATAAGCATTTACAAAAGATAAATTTCAATGCAAGTTTTTCGGCCATTGCATTCGTTTATTTTAAAATCATACATGGGTATAGGATAATACCAGGCCAGGCAAGCATAGCTTGCTGTAGCAAAGAATTAGGTTTTGCTCTAATGTTGAAATCATCCCTACGCTACGTTGCATATGTATTGAATTATTGATCACATTTCAAAGTAGTCTGAAGTATCGTTCGCAAGTGGTCCTTGAAAATAGTTCAGAGAACTCTGGCGTTACATTAAGTGAAGGGAAACAGTAAATCAGCCGCCCGGCTGCGGTAGTTTCCTATAAAAAGCTTCGCTTTTCATTAAACGCACGCAGCTCGGGGAGCACTGCACTCGGTTGCATTTGTCTTTCGAGGAGTCCTTGGCTTAGTCCAGTTGTGTATGGTCTGTACGGCTGTGTACGGAGAACAGCAGCTGACTGGTCTCAAATGGTCACGGTTCTTTGATGCAATGCCGTTGTTTTGGCATCTCACGCTTCTTTTGTGTATTCGAGGAAGAATAGACACCTGCGTTGCCGAGCACCTGGCCTTGGCCTTATAGATATCACGTATACATTAAGGGGAAGGTTACCAATGAAATCAGCCGCCCGGCTGCGGTCATCACCTACATTTTCCCTACATCCTACATACTGCATTTTTTATTTTACGCTTACTTGATAAACAACTTTCTTCTTCTGTTTTAATTCAAAGGATTTAATGAAGATAGACCCGTTATTTTATAACAGCAATAAGACTTTCGAAAATTCGAATTTTATGCCTGAAGACTTCATTGCCATGCTCCTAAAAAATACACAGACAGGTATTGTATGCATACCACTTAATCGTAGACTGGTAACAGTCTCTCCACGGCCACGCAGCGCAGTGGCCGTGGAGTCTTTAAATGCCATTCCACGAGCTGTAGCAGTTATAAACTATAAAGCATCAGGTGGTAGGTTAAAGCTAGGCACCTATCAACAGAAAAAAATGTGCGAAGATGGAAGCATCAAGTAGATTTACTTAGTTGGTACATAGTACATACGCCTATTCAAAGCCCACTATCCTTCAATGTTCAGACGATGGGCGTACTTGAAACTTAATAATTACTGACAGCGTTTCCAATGAGCCCCACTCACTGCAGATGACCCTTTAGCGCTCACCTCCGTATCCGAGGAAGACGCTGCGCGTGAACTTGCTTCTGTCAGCCATGTCATTCTGGATGGTGGGCAGCGCGCCCGCGCCGGCAAAGCTGAACATGATGGTGGCCAGGCCGAGCGAGAAGGTCTGCAGACTGGGCGGCGTGCGCACGGCCGGCTCCTTCATCTCAGAGATCCACATCGAGAGCCGGATGATGCAGCACAAACAGGCCACCATGGCCGCCATCAGACCCATGTAGATAATCTTCCTGCGGGTGCCAGCAGAGGAAAGAAATGTTACGCTTTTTCGTGGTGTGGTTTTAAACGGGAAAATTGTTTGGTGAAGTATGAACGGCGACGGCGCTACGGTTTGTTTATTAAATAGTAAAGTGTCGGAATTCGGTTGTTTGGTTCCATATGGATGAGGCTTACTTCGATCGCACTGGACCGTTACAAACGCCATGGTCAGACGCGGACGACTATCTTGAACTGAGCATAAACCGAACTTGTGCCGTTTGACCGAAAATCCTGAAAACCACCTGAACTTGGCCGGCGAGGGCAGGCACGATGACGGCATAAAGCAGAAGGCGATCAGAGGAATGCAGAAGCAGCGCGACCAGCCGGAGAAGCTCTCCATCAGCTCTGCACAGAGCAGCATGTTCACCACGGAGGCGCCAAAGTGGCTCATGAAGATGCAGAAGTTGAACAGCATTCTGTCGGCAGGAGAGGGAAGCCAAAGTTGGCATCAAAGAGGGAGGTCGAGGCTAAATCATACGGTTAGTCAGTCGTCTGGGTGTCTAAAAAAGCAGCCCAGAATGGTATCACTCCCGCGGCGACAGCTACCCCACCGATGACACAAACATGGGCAGCTGAGGAGTTTTTATGGCGCTCTGCCTCTGCCGCACGTTTTTATTTTGAAGTAGAATATTTCGTTCACGGAGACGGAGCGTGAAGTTCCTGGCGCAGAGCTAAAATGGAACAGACGGACATAACTTATCTATGCGTGGATTTTAGACTCCTGAATAAATAAACACGGATGACGTTTATCTTCTCGGGTGTCTTTTGCCACCACTGCAGGCGCGACACATATTCAGCGGACACGGACTAACTATGATAAAAGTTTTCAATGTAAATATAAATGGTACTTTCTTCAGTGACATATTAGACCAAAGTTCACTGGGTCAAGACCAAACAAGGGCCGTTTTGCAAGCAGTGAAATTGCCTGGTATCAGCAAACTAATCGTGAGAGAGCCAGTCAGACAATAGTTACGTAAGTAAAATGTTCATAGATTACTGAATAACACATAGCAGTGACTACTCCCCTGTCCCGCTGTCCTGCCACCTTGCCTTCACCAGTGCCACTAACCTGTCACCTCCAGGTTAGTGGCAGTTGGCACCACGCCAGCCCCAAGTGGATCCCCGCTGCGCCGTCACCATCTTTACACCAGTCCTGCTGAGTCGTAACCAGTGCCTACACCAGTCCCGCTGCCCCGTCGCCAGTGCCCACACCAGTCCCCCCCCCCCATCCATGACCGGTCACTCACCTGCCAGGCCTGCCGAACGCCTTGGTAGCGATCTCCGCAAACGGACTGCGTACGTGGCCGTTGTATTCGGGGTAGCGCTCCTCAATAATGGAGCGCGACCACGTCAGCAGGATACCGTTGAACGCCGACATGCTGCCGCACAGCACGAACAGCACGAAACCCATCCAGCCTGCAACCAAGCGCAGCGAGGCATGTGGAGGTTAAACTCGTGTGAATGGAGGAAGGAGGGAGGGAGACGGCGAAAAGATGAGTGAAATATGAAATTGACATTCTATTATGCACGGCAGATTCCTGTGTAAGCTAACCAGACCAAAAATTGTCCAAAACAAAAATTAATCGGTTACGCAGCGAGAAATGTGAATGTAAATTAGATACGATGAAATAACCATGAATTGTATTCGAATAAAGAATTATCGTTTTCCCACAGTCGTTAAGAGAAATGAAAGGCGCTCATTCACCTGCGTTGATGGTCGCTCTCGGACAGGCCATCATTCCGCTCCCAGCTTCCAGGTTGATGATGCTGCGCAGAAGAAAACATAACAATTTAGTGATCATCGCATTCGCATTAATTGCAAACCAATATTAACAGACACCTTTTATAAGTACAGTGCATAAAAGTACACAACTTTAAATTAACTAGCAAACAGTTGCTCTGAATTCGGACGTGGTTCACTGAAGACTTTTTTGAACGGGTACTCACCATATGGCAGCCGAGAAGATGGTGAGGGCGCGCTTCTTTTTCTTCGGTTGATCTCCCAGCAGGGGAGCCTCCGGCTGCGTGTCTATCCTAGAAGGGCGAGGGAAGCGTGATTAGAATGCTTTACAGTCACCATTGATTGAATGAAGGTTTCAATTGAATAATGTGACTATCACTCGAATGTGCTGTCGTATAATAGGCAGTGGCACCAATATCACTATTTCGCTTATACAATAGATAAACGGTGTGAATAGTGTGGACATAAGAACTCTGATGAATTCCAGACGTGAAGGCAAGGCCGCAAGAATAAGAACATTCGTTCGCCAATCGTTTATGTCAGAAGTTACACCCTGAGACAGATAAGACGGGATGAAGTATTCACGCCCATTTTCCGTATATCCGCTCCATGAGTCTCAATAGTAAAAAGGCTCAGGTCTTAAAGTGACCGGACAAGGTCATGCTGCACATTGCGAAATATGCAGCATAAGCAAGACAATACAAAGTATTTAACGAAAAGTGAAAACGCAAACCCAATTTAAATGCAGTTAACTCGAGCTCCGCTTTTTTTTTGCTAACCAATTACCAAGGCAAACTTTGTTCCGTATAAACTGAGGTGGTGTGAGACAAAGACGATGAAATAGAGTGAATGCCTCCAATATTTTTTCTCAATAATAACTTTTCGAATATTTTCTCTTACTTTGAACGTTACGAAATGTTGATCTTTAGATAACCTCAGACATAGACTACTTTATTACTGATATAGAGTAGCCTATGCATCAGGTCAACAGCAAAAAAGAAAAGAAAAATACAATGGCACCGGTGTGCTTAGCATCCTCTGCAAGTTTAAATGAAATCGAAGCAAAACTCTGGGTTTATGTAACAAAATCTAGGTTATTCCCATTCTACCTTGAGTAGGTATGTAATTGACCTGATGACCTTGCCTTAGACCACTAGCACTTAACTTTTTTAGGAACTTTGTCAAAAATGCCCTATAGAGATGTCCAAGTTAGTGGCCTTTTTATGCCAGCTGCAAAAAGAAACGCACTCGAGGGTATTCAAATTCCACTAAACTATGCTAGTTTTATCCTATGTGCCGCTTTGTGTGACCTGGTAATCTGACCTGAGGTTATTAGCCATTAGGACTATACAGGGTGATCCAAAAAAAAATTGGAACCCCTAACTTAAAATGTCTATAAGTCCGAAAGTATTGACTTTATTGACAAATTGCGAACACCATTAGAAAGAGCATTAAATCCTCTATAAAATCACGTCAAATCAGTGCATGTATGTTGTACAGCATTGGCACACTATTAGCTTTTGGAATAAGCTTCAGAAAACTGAGTGAAACGAAATCGCCAAATGTTAACAATGCGCTGAAATCCGTTAGCACTCTATCTGTTGTCTTTTTGCGAATAACGACACATCCAAATTTAATTTTATTTCATAAAAGTTAACACAGAAGCACACAGTAGAACAGATACACGCGTCCTAGCTTCCGCTGTTCATCCCAGCATGTGCTCAACGCGAGCTCCGGGGGCCGTCACGCAGGCCTGCAGTTGCTCATGGGGACAGCTCCGACTGCGCGGGCCAGCAGTCTCTGGGACAATTGGTCTCAGCAGGCCGTCAGCCTTTCCTTTCCTTACAATAGCACGTGAATGAGCTATTTTTATTCATGAATATCCAACAAGCGACATGGTCAGAACAGTAAACCGTCAATCACTGATTTGCGCATAATGTTCAAAACCGTTTCACTGAGTTTCGTGACGCAAATTTTTTAGGCATATGTCTAGGGCAATATATACAATAATAAGTAAGTACAATTAACTTTGTTTTATAGAGAATTGAACGCTCTTTCTAATGGCGTTTGCAATTTATCAATAAAATGAAAATTTTCTGACTTACAGACTTTTTAAGTTAGGGGTTCCAATTTTTTTTGATCACCCTGTATATTTGAGACCAAAACTGCGAGGTATAGCTTATCACGCACAACACGGGCTTAGAAATGCAACCAATGATAAGTTAGCCCGCGGCACCAGCTTCACTTACGATTCAGAGCTGTTGCTCGGTGTATCGGGCAGGGGCAAGTAGCCCGTCTGTACCTCCTGGAATCCCATCTTCAACAACGGTCAAACTGACCGGCCGGTCGAGACAGAGCGGTCGGAGGGGTCGGCGAGAGGAGCGGCTGCGCTGACGGCCGTCTGGACAGCGCCCTCGCTCTAAACTGACGACTGACCGGGCCAGGCCGCCCGCTGATTTATAGACTGAGGTGACTAGGGCGGGGCGGGGCGGGGCGGAACCGGGCACGTGCCGGACTTGGACCACATGTTCTCAACCGGACAGGAGCGGCAAGACGCGGCGGGACACCCCACGTGCTCACGTGGCGAGGATGGCATCACTTGTAAGGTTGTGGAGTGTGTGTGGGGTGGAGGGGAGGGTATTGAATAATGTAGGGCCACTCGTTATCATTGCTTACATTGCTGTACTTATAGTTTCAGATACGAATCGTAGAGTTCATGTAGGTAGGGGAAGGTGGGGTAAGACGGACCAGCTAAGGTTTGAGGCCGCATATCTTGCTACACTGCTCTCGTAATTCATATTATTTATAGTCTTCGGAATGCTCAATCCTTCCTCTCTTGATATGTGTAAAGACTAAATTTCAAATTAAAGACATCTAGGTGGTGGATGCTCTTAAAAGGGGACATGTCAAAAACTCAGGCAAGAAAAAACGTGGGGTAAGACGGACCACCCAGCAGTGCCTGCTATCCGTTCATGTGTGTTACACTTCTGCTCTGTACTCTTGTAAGAAAAAGTAACCAGAATGGTAAAATAACAAAATGAGCCTTTATTCTTTACTCATGTGTGATGGAAGTGCAGCTGAAAGCTGGGAACATGTGTGTTGATTGTCGTTTGGCATGAATGCATGCTAACTGAACACTTGCATGCATGGCTCACATGCAACAAAGACTCCTTCCTGAAAAATTAGCTTACTTAAACTTGTGTCAATGTTTTGGAAAAGAACTTTCCATATGCAGGGTACAATGGACCACCACAGGGTAAGATGGACCACAGTGGTCCGTCTTGCCCCAAATCTAAATTCTGTCATTATCATGACGTATATGTCAAATAGCCCAACATTGCAAAACCTTGCCTTTCCTAAAGTGTGACTATAACTAAGTTTATAACTTTGTTCTTCACAGTTAAGTGCAAAATAGAAACTAATCATGCAAGAAAGGCGCCGTAATTGAATCACCCGTAGACCTCTTATATTAGATCGGTTTGACGAAAAACAACATTTTTCTCAATAACTCAAAAGCTATGCATCCTAGCAGCATGAGCTCAAAGTGGCCATTGTTACGAAGGAAAACAAACATAGTGAGTGCATAAAGCAGTAGATACCAGCAGCGGCTCAGCCGGGAGGGCTGGTGGTCCGTCTTGCCCCGCTGGGCCGTCTTACCCCACCTTCCCCTATGTAAGTACCACCTATATCGTAACTGCCGCCTCTTCAACTCCGTAACATTACTTCCGCAAATTAAAGTGGCTTCGAGCAGAACAGAACATGCTTTTTTCGAATTGTTTGGCCCAACTAGACCACAGAACATGTGTTGCATGGCCTATTCATGCCTGAAACTTTTCGTGACAATTTTTGACCTAGCTGCGACGTTAAACATGCCAAGTAACTATAAAATCAGTATCCAAAGTGTATCTTAGGCACAGATCTGAGTGTGTAAGTCAAAACTGAGCTCGATGAGACTTTGTTAAGTGGCGGCCAAAATACAAAGTGTGACCATGCTTAATTGTTGATAATTTAGCTTAAACTTTTGTTAGACGTTAACTTTGACCTCATCTCTGACGCCACAGGTTGCCTCGATTGCCTCGATAAAATTATATGTTACACGTCATTTTTTGCTGGGCTATCAAACGCCACTTTAATTTCTAAAATCGAGACAAGCGTATTTGGGGTCGGAGGGAAGCTCTAGAAGTAGCGCTTCCGCTAAATCAATTCTGTCACGGAATATACCCCAAGTAAAGTATCCCAATCATGCACGGCTTAATGATTCGTCTTTGCCGCAATTTATGAACCCTTTGCAAAAATATGGCTTATAAGTTAACAGAAATCTTATTAGCACACTAGATAAGACAATACTCGCACTTAGTGCACAGGAGCTGAAAGGAATAAAAATTTCAAACCCAATTTCTGCATAAACAGGATGGATAGCAAAGGACAGGACCGCGTTGTATATCAAGCCAATGTCCTTAGCACTTAACCCGCGCCCCACTGGGGGGGGGGGGGCTATATAGCCTCCCTCCCGTTTTTCTGCAATAACATCCAATCCACTTGACGTATCGACGCCAAACTTTGAGTACCTTCGGCTGCATCAATCTGACACCTTGTGTCAAAATTTGAACTTCGTAGCTACCATAGATCGGCCGGAAATGACGTCAGAGTGACGTCATGTTCGGCCGATTTCGACGCAAAACATTGAACCACGGCAATCGCTCCCAAGAGCTCAGTTTTTAAGCGAGATCCAATTTCTTTGCATGAAAGGACTCAGCATTGACTGCGCTATCAAACTGCTATCTCGAATTATCAAAATTTTGAACATTTCGGAAAGTTTTATAAAATAATATTCAAAATTTATATTTTTATATTTTTTTTCAAAACGTTCTTAACTTTTCGAAAAAAAACGGAATATATGTGACAGAACGCATGCTTATGACTAACTCTAGCAAGTTTTAGCAAAATATCTTCAAAAATGGCCAAGTTATAAGCATTATTGCAAAAAATTCGCAATTATTAATTTTTCAAATCAATTTTTCAGTGCGTATTTGACATCGTACGCCAATATAAATAGCACCATCGTGTTCCTGAGCTCAAACTGCATCCAACAGACACCTTTTTTTGTTGAAAAATTTTAACTTCAAAATTTGACCTTTTTTGACCTGAAAGTGACCTGACCTAAGCTAAATTCGACTCAAAATGACCTCGAATGATACAAACAACATCAACTTCGAAATCTATGGCCTAAATGGACCATAAAACATGTGTCACGTGACCGACGCATGATATAATATTTCCGTGACCTGTGATGACCTGACCCTGACCTGAAAATCAAAGCACAAGTTTGGTACCCTCAAGGTATCTAGAGCATCTGTTCACAAGTGTGGAACCCAAAAATGAGCCTGATCTGACTTGTAAGACGGCGGCCAGAGCCCAAAATGTGAACAAGCCATTAGCCAAAATGCTAATAATTCTTACTTTGACCTGACCTGTGACGTCATCGGTGACCTCGAGGTCAACGAAATTAGGTTTCGCTCGACAGTTTTTCCGAATTCCGGGGCTATCAGACGCCGTTTGAATTTTGACGATCGGCCCAGTAGTTTCGGAGTTAGGAGGGGGGGGGGGCTATGGAGAGCCCCCCCCCCCCCAGTAGGGCGTGTTATACGCAGACCCCAGTGGAGCGCGGGTTAAGTAAGCCTTTCAAAAAAGGAAAACAAAAATCATTAATTAAAAGTAAGTGTCACCAGCATGGCCAGCTTACCTTTACGACGTCAAATAAGAACGGTCATTAAACAGCATCGGACGCAGGTGCCTCTAAATAATGTACAGCCTACAGGTATTCTACACTTAGTACTTACTAGTGATGTCAATTACGGAAAATCGGAATACCGATACCAAACCAAATACCAACCAAAACCACGGGAAAATACCGAAACCAAACCAACTTTGGAAACTGAGGGAAATACCAACTTTTTGCCGATTTATTAGCCTCTTATACATTAGTGAGGGCTTATGATACCAACAAAATACCAAACACATTACGATTGAAATACCAAATACCAAGTCAGTATCGGTTTGGTATCGGTATACCAAATAGTTGGTATCCGATTGACATCTCTAGTACTTACGATTGTTTATCGGTGCACTCCATCATTTAGATAACGGGCGAAAATGTCTCACGTAGCACAAATCTTAGCTGGCTAGCCCTGTCAAGTCGAGCTCCAAATGCAATATCAGCTGCGGTCTCTCTAAGACTTTCCCAATCTATGACAGTAATGTGCAGCATATTACAAAGGTCGCTGCTGTGACGAAATTATATGGGCCGGAAAGTTGTGAGAAACACCTGTGGGATCATCAAAGGTGACAAAAAAGGAACGTTGGCGTCAACAATCGAGATGAATCATCAACAGATGCTAGAAAAGGAAACAGTTGCTGAAAGTGAGAGCAACTATATTTTGCAGTGTTGCATGTTTTTGTACAATACTTCCTATGACTGCAAACCGAGAGAGAGAGAGAGAGAGAGAGAGAGAGAGAGAGAGAGAGAGAGAGAGAGAGAGAGAGAGAGAGAGAGAGAGAGAGAGAGAGAGAGAGAGAGAGAGAGAGAGAGAGAGAGAGACAGGGAGAGAGAGAGAGAGAGAGAGAGAGAGAGAGAGAGAGAGAGAGAGAGAGACAGAGACAGAGACAGAGAGAGAGGAGAAAGTAAAAGAGGGCTATGAAAAGCAAGAGACAGCATTCCTAATTTGGGACGTGACATCCCCTAATACCACCTGATGATGTCAAAAAACGCATTCTGTGAGAAACGGGAAATGTACAGGTCAGAATAGACTAAAGAAAGACTCTCAAACAGATGATGGTTTGAAGCAGAAGATGTGAGCGTCTGATACGTGTTTCAGTCCGGTCACGGGCAGGGTCGCAAGATATGTGATTTTCCGTATGTGTTTAAGTGGTATCGAACTCGTCTGTTGTTTCCTCAGTGCATCAAAGAAGGCAAAGTCTCAAACATTATATTTTTATTTAGCTGTTTGTTAAGCTAAACAAGCGTTGATCTATTCTGGATCCTCAGTGTTGTGGTAAGAACATAAATGCGTGCCACAAAAGAACCCATAAAAGGGTAAAGCACCTCCACACAGTGGCACACACATTCACTATAACACACGGCACACGGAGTCTCGTAAGACAAGTCTTAGTGCGTCACGAAAATAGAACGTTGGACGCCAGTGGTCATTATCGATGTCTAAAGGCGGTGTCCCGTAGGCTCCAGAATTTACACCCGTTTACACAGAATTTACGAATGTGTCGCATTGCGTCTTAGCCACGATACCGGCGGCCACCAGGCAGCGATATTTTGACCTTGGTAATGGCTAATGGGACATACTCACTTGTAGACTGATGGTAATGTATTTGCGCACATGCATTTGACAGGCTCATTTTCTTGCTAGGATAATTATA